ACTACCTCATCCCATCCAGCTGTGCACTTCCCCTCCCCCCCAGATGTGCAGTCATTCTGTGTGCCTCCCCTTCATTGGCCTAGTCAACATTATCTATGGCCTCTGCTAGTGGGTCTAACACAGGACGGCCTAGCCCAGAGGTGAGGAACCTGCAGCCTCGAGGCCTCATGTGGCCCTCTAGGTCCTCAAGTGTGGCCCTCTAACTGAATCCAAACTTGACAGAACAAGTCCACCCCTGGCCTAGTGTCTGTTGCCTTCCCTTCCCGAGTCCCGTAGCAAGAGGGGCCCTCACTCCAGAGCTGTCTTCTGTTCTTTCTTCCCTTACTCCACCCCCAGCTGCCAGTGCAACATCCTGGGACAGGAAGGGGACGGCAGTCATTTCTTTGGGAACAATTTATAAGGTAAGGAAATGCTGACTCTTAAACTGCTCTCAGACCATAGACAGACTAGGGAATTAGCTAATTTTAGCCAACGTAATTTCAGGGAGTGCTTTATTGTTTGGTACACGTTACTTACTGACTGCCTCTTTCAAAGGGCTTGGAACCTGAGATTGACCAGCAGGTTCTGACCATAAGATCGTACATTTAGGGCTGACAGGGCCCTCAGAGGCCCTCCTGTTACTGAGGAGGAAACTGAGTCCTGGAGAGCTAAAGGGACCAGTGTGAGATCACCCACAGAGTCCTCATCCTAGAGCTGACAAGGCCTTCAAAGGTCTTAGAATCCAATCCCCTCCTGGGACTTTAGGGGAAACTGAGGCCTAGGGAGCTTAAGGGACCTGTGTTCGATCACCCATATGCTCCCAGATTCATAGCTGGCAGGGCCCTCCAAGGCCATGGAGTCCAAGCCCCTCCTATCACCAAGGAGGGGAGGTTCAGTGACTGCTGTGAGGTCCCCCCTGGGATCCGCTGTTCATAGCTGGCCATCTAGTGTTGTTCTGCTCTCATTTCACAGAGGAGGAAATTGAGACCCAGGGAGGAGAAGTGATTTGTCCAAGGTCACCCAGGTAGTGATAGAGGTTAGATTTGAACCCAGGTCCTCTGACTACAAAAGTCATCATACTTTCTACCACCCCACCCTGGGAATCAATCCTAGGCCTCCAGTGTTCTAGGCAAACAAGTGTCTGAGCTGCATTTTCAGCTTTGATGAAATGACAGGCCTTCAGCTTGAGCTCAGCTGGAGCCTTGCCCAGGATTTCTGTGCCAGGCACCTGGTCAGGAGAAATAGCAATCACCTTCGTTGCTGATAAGAGGTCCTAGTACTTTTCCAGTTGCATAGATTTCACAAGATTTCGAGCTGGCAAGGACCAGAAAAAAGAAACTGAGGTTCAAAGAGGGGAATGGCCTGCCCAACGTCATATTCAACTCACCTATGACAAGAATGTGTTAAGCACCTTCTACTGGCAAGACAGCTTAGTCTGGTCCTGGGTCTGGGAAGACAAGAAGAAGACAATCCCTGCCCTCAAAGCTCTTCCATTCTGCTGCAGGATGCACCAAAGACACGTACAGCTTGGTAAGGGAGATCTGCAAAGAAAGCCCAGATAAGGTAGCGTCTTATCTCAGTCTTGAGAAAAGCTAAGGAGTCTAAGAGTTGTGTTCAGCTAGTGAGAGAGGCTGGATCACAAGGTCTTAGTTTTAGAGATGAAGAGAGGCCTTAAAGGCCCAATCCTCTCATTTTACAGAGGGAGAAACTGAGGCCCAGGGAGGTGAGGGACTTATCCAAGGTCACATAGGTAGTCTGTGTCAGAGGCGGGATTCGAACCCAAGCCTTCCAACTCCAAAAGCCAGTGCTTTTTCAAATGCTGTACCATGCTGCCATGTGTCCTTGGACTCCCAGGCCCCTGATGTCTCCATTAGACCGTATCCCATTAGACCACTGCCCTGGTTCCCGGCCTGTTGAGAACTGACTCACGGCTAGGGGTGCCAGCTTACCCCAAAGCACTCTCCATCCAGACAGAACTAAGCTGGACTGGTGCAGAGCTAACCTGTCCTCATGTTGCTCCATCCCTGCTGCCTGGACGTTCCACTGAGAGCCACTAGGTGGCCTTGCCACAGAGCAGGATCTGGAGGGCAAGGCCCTCGGAGTAACTTAAGGACTTGGAGAGTCAAAATAGATTTCAGTGGAAAAAAATAACTGTAGCTGCTATGAAGCAACAGGCTCCTTGTGTCCCCTGCGGTTAGGAATCTCCAAAACTTGTTGTTTTTTCCTGAAGGAACCTCCAGCATTGGGATGCACTGGGCCCCGTGCGGACTCAACCCAGCCAGCAGGAAACAGGCTGCCTTTTGACTAGTACTGGTGTTTACTGTTGGAAAGAAACAAGGGGAGATACTGTTTTAGAAGGGACACAGACAGGTCTGGGCAGGGTTGATTTTGCTTCCTCTGCACACTGTAAACCCTGGGCAGCATAGATGGATAAGGTGAAAAGGGCACCCGCCTCGCAGTTAAGAAAATTGGGTTTGAATTCTGCTTCTGGCGATAATCGATTAACCTGACCCAGTCACTGAGTCTCCAAGCCTTGCTTTTCTCTTTTGTAAAATGGGGATGAGCAATCAGCCAATCAGTTGACAGGCATTTATTAAACACCTACTAGATGCCAAGTATCATGCTAATACAAAGCCAAAAGCAAATCAGTTCCATGTACATATAGTAATAATAATAATAATGACAACCATAGCTAATATTTATATAGCACCTACTATATGCCAGGCATTGTGCTAAGTGCTTTACAATTATCTCAGTCAATCCTCACAACAACCCTGAGAAGTAGGTGCTGTTATTATTCCTATTTTCCAGATGAGGAAACAGGCAGAGATTAGGTGCCTTGCCCAGGGTCACACAGTCTGAGGCTGGATTTGAACACCAGTCTTCCTGATTCTAGGCCCAGCACTCCAGTCACTGCAGATATAAATGTATACGAACATAGGCAACATAAATACCAGGGCATTTGGGGGGAGACCATGTGGTACATGTACCAGGGCCTTCCAACCTGGGCTACACTTGCTCCTGGCAGATATAAGAAGCTTGGCAAAGCGTAGAGAGAATGTTTGGTAAACAGTTATATTATCCTAGTAAAAATCAATGTATCCTATTTTATGCAGATACATGGTAAACTGTCAAATATAGTTCCTTTCGTAATGACTATAGGGTACAGGAGGATTTATTGAGAGCCAAGGGGTATGAGGACAGAAAAAAGGTTGGCATCTCCTTGTGTAGGGATAGAGAGCTGCCCTTGGAGCTAAGAAGTCTTGGGTTTCACTATTGCCCCTGCTGCATACTGGCTGTGTGACCTTGGGCTGGTACCTTCCCTTTCCTGGGCCTCAGTTTCCTCCTCTGTAAAATGAGGGGGTTGGACGAGATGGCTTTTGAGGGCCCTGCCAGTTCTAGAGCTAGGCTCCTACATGTGCCCTTGTCATAGGATGGGCCAGCAAGCAGAGAAGTGAGGGAGTTAGGTGCGTAAGGAGAACAACAGTCTGAGGTCGGAAATGGTGGAAGAGGGCAGCGTGTAGCCATGAAAAGGTGGCCCGTGGGACCGAAGCAATTGGCTCCCAGTCCTACAGTTGGAAGTGACCTTGGAGCCCCGAGTCTGACCTCCCTCACTTTATTCAGAAAACACTGGATTTGTCCCCAAAGGGTCGTACAGAGATAGATCTAGATCTTAGCTGAGCTCCTGAGGTGCTGAAGGAGAGAGGATACTGGTTTGGGACCCAGATTCAGGTTCAAATCCTACCTTGGACTATGAAATCTTCGAGGAGAGGCTGTCCAGTACTCATTCCCTCACTTTACCAGTGTGGAGCCCGAGTGTAAGAAGTCAGGTGGCTTGCCCAGAGTTCGAATCCTGCTTCTCCTACTGACTGATCATTTGGGGCGAGTCCCTTCTGGCTTTCTGGGCCTTGATTTCTTCCTGGATCAGAAGCAGTGGTTGGACTGTGTCAGAGGTCCTTAACCTCTATGTCCGTGAACTTTTGTTTTTAATACTTTGATCACTGTCTTTCAATATAACCGGCTCCCTTTTTATGCATTTATGCATTCTCATTCTGAGAAGGGGCCCGTAGGCGTCCCCTGGCTGCCAAAGAGGGAGGGGCAGAACGCCAAGAAGTTCGGAACTCCCGAGTTCGTTGTATTTATAGAGAGAGGGCACCTTCCGGCCTTTAACAAGTTCTGAGGATATAGAAGAGTCAGCATGTACTGGGGCTGGCACTTGGGTAGGCAGGAAATAAATGATGTTGGGTGATTAAATAGCCGTAGAAAATGGCTGGCTAATCTTAAATCTGTCCCCCACACACTCGGCCCTCTCGCCGGAATGTGCTGCATAGCTTTCATGCAATTTTCACTGAAACGCAAGTCATTTTACAGATGAGGAAACTGAGGTCCGAGAGCTAAAGTGACTTGCCCAGAACCAGTCTCCCTTCATTTTACAGAGGAGGACCAGAAGATGAGGTGACTTGGTCCCAAGGTCACACAAAGAAACTCCGGAGCTGTCTAGTTCTCTCCCTCCTCATTTTCGGGGGTCTCCGGTCAAGGTCAAATGCATTATGGTTAAATGCATTGTCCACTTGCCCACAGGCTCCCTGGGCGTAGCAATCAGAGGAGGGATTCGAACCAGGGCGTCAGTGTCCCGAGCTGGCACCCAGCCGATTGCACCATCTCTTCCCTAGGTGGGGCAGTACCTCAGAGCGGCTTTCCCGCCCAGGGGGTAGAAGTGTGCCTGGGAATGCAAAATGCCCCCGGCAGGATAAGGTTGCGAGAGCGGGGCGTGGCCTCGCGCGCTTCGAAGCCGGGCTGAAGGCTTATTTGCATGCCGCCTGACGCTCTGTGACGTCACAAGCTCGCCCTCTATAAAAGGCCTTCGCGCTGCGCCCTCGCCGATTCTGGGCTGGGTACTCGGGAGGGTGTGGTGTCCGAGCGATCTCTGTGTAGCCCGAGGTGCCCTAGCTGCTGCCGTCCCTGCCGGCGCCGCCGCCGCCCAAGCCGCACACGCCCCCGGCCCGCCGCCCCTCCTGCCTTTCCCGCCGCACCCCCCCGAGGGCCCAGAAGGAGAGCCGCCGCCCCGCCGCCACCCCTCGTGCCCCCAGGCAGCAGAGGCCGAAGAGCTTGAGCCATGAGCTCCGAGATGTACCAGTCCCCGATGGAGGTGGCTGTCTACCAGCTGCATAACTTCTCCATCTCCTTCTTCTCGTCCCTCCTGGGGGGGGATGTGGTCTCTGTCAAGCTAGACAACAGGTAACCAGCCCGACTGCAGCTCGCCCCGAGGGGGTGGGGGGGGCTAGCGGACTGGCCGCCCTTGGGGCTGCGGTGGGGCAGTGCAGAGCCATCGGGGTCAGGGTCAGAGTCAGGGTCAGAGCCAGTCGAACTCGGCCCGGGGCCTGGGTTGGAGCGCGCGCTCGAGGTGCCAGGGGACGTGAGGGGGGAGGACGGGCGGGCTCCGGGACCGAGACCGAATGCCCGGGGGCGCTGATCCCGGGTACCCAGGTGAGGGGCGGGGGACACCCTGAGGGGTAACCACAGCAGGGCGGCTTTGTGATGGGTGCCTTTCACTTTGTGTCTCCTCAGTGCCTCCGGAGCTACAGTTGTGGCCATTGACAACAAGATCGAGCAAGCTATGGTGAGTCTGGGGTGCACCCTGCAATGCATTCCCCCTCCCCGCCCTCTCCCCAGCACTTCCCCCCCGCCCTGGAGTCTGCATCACCCCTCCCCCAGTTCTGCTAAGACCACTGAGGTAGGGCCATGGCTCTCAGGTAGCTCATTGGGACAGAGTCCAAAAGTAGGAGAGGGGCCTCCTGGGGTGTTCTCCAGAGCTACCCGACCAGGACCTGGCGGGGCAGGGTAGGGCCCGCCTTGGTGATTCCTTCTGGATGAGATTCCCCACGTAGACACGGATGGCTCGCCTTTGTCTGAAGCCTGCATTAACAAAGTGTGGAGCCCCTGCTGCAGTCCCTCTGCAGAGAACCCAGAGCCCTGGGCAGAGAGCAAAGGAACAGAAGCAGCCCTTCGATTCTGGAATGAATGCTTCTACAGGGTGGGCTTGGGGCTGCTAGGCACAGAGTAGGTGTTTGGTGCTCTCCCATGATTAAGAGGAAGGGGCCTTGGGTTCCCCCCCCCAGGAGATATGCAGGCTGCTTCCTGTACTTGGCAGCCAAGTGACTGCATCGGATGCCACGGGTCCTGGGGCAGTGCACACAGCCAGCCTCTTGTCACAATGGATGTGGGAGTCCTGGCCAGGAGATGAGGTCGGACTGCAGTACAGCTGCATATTTAATGCTCTGGCTGACAGAAATGTAGGTAGGGATCAAAATAGCCAGGCCATTATTGAAATGTAGAAGGAAAGCCAGGGCGGAACCTAAGCTGTGCCCTGCATAACCCTATGGCCACATCATCCCTACCCCCCACCCCCATAGAATGTAACCTTCTGGAGGGCAGGGACTGCTTCATTCTCTTCTCAATATCTCCAGTCCCTAGCACACATGGTGGGCTCAGAGGCTGCAGTGCCACCAAGACCCTGGCATCCAGGTGAACCCAAAGAAACCCTGTCACCCCAGCCCTGCATCCTGGCAGCCCTCCCTCATTAGAAGCCTTGCAAGATGTGGGAGGCCAGGTTGGATACAGGCAGTCTTCCTTCTGTATCTCCTTGCCCAGTGTCTGGAAGCCCCACCCCCACCCCCATCCCCTAAACTGACAAGAAAGACACCAGAGAAGTAAGTAAGCCTTCGGGACAGGTTCTCCAGGTTAGTAGTGTCTCCGGGCAAGAGTGCCCAGGCCAGTGGTATGGCGTAAGTAATGAAGTGTTTGGTTTGGGCTTTGTTTTTGTCCGTATAGGATCTAGTGAAAAATCACCTGATGTATGCAGTTCGAGAGGAGGTGGAAATCCTGAAAGAGCAGATCAAGGAGTTGGTGGAGAAAAACTCCCAGCTGGAGCGTGAGAACAGCCTTCTCAAAACCCTCGCCAGCCCCGAACAACTGGAGAAATTCGAGTCTCAGCTGAGCCCTGATGAGCAGACCACCCCTGGTGCCACCAATTCACCTGAACAGGATGCAGGCTCTGCCGTGTAAGTGGCTCTGTCCTGGGAGTGGGCAGAGCCACGGAACTTTTTTCTACCTAGCTCCTTAAGAATATGATTTTTTTTTCATCCCCAAGTATCATCTCACATGAAGAATTGCCCAGCTTGCATCAGCTGGTGCCGAGATGTTCAAAGGGCAGACCTTCATGGGCCCGCCCTAAGTGTTTGACCTCTGAAGAAAGAGCTCTTTTTGGAAGTTGAGTTACACAAGGAGATGATACCTCAGCTCACACCCACTGGTCCCAGGACAACCAAGGCATGCACCTTGGCCATTCCTGAAAACAGAACAGGGCTGTATGTGTTGTTGTCGTTGTGGTTTTGTTGTTGTTGTTGTTGTTGTTGTTGTTGTTGTTGTTTTAACACAACCTGTTTTTAAATGGAAACCAGCAACAGTTAAGACAGGGTCAGGCTTCAGCTGAATGGCCCCAGCGGTTTTCTTAGCGAGTTCTGCTTTTTTCTCCGTGGTAGCTCTGTGGCAGCAGACAGGGCCCACTTTTTGACACCCATTCTAATATCTTCAAGAGTGGGTCTTTACTTATTGAAATGTAGAATGAAATTTCAATAAACTTTTCTAAATAGAAAATTGGAGTTCTTTTAATTTGGAAAAAGCAGAGGGTTATGGAACCAGAGGAAGGGAGTGGAGGGGGGGAGGGGAATGGGAATGGGTCCATGGGGTGTCTAGTGTTAGAGCTTTCCTGGCTTGGGTGACTTTTCATACCCTACTTCAAGGGCAGGGGATTGGGGGAGGAGAGGCAGATAAGGAGGAAAGTCCCTCACTGAAATGGGAGAGAAATTTTTGAACTCACTTCTACTTGGGCCCCCCCCCAGGCTACCCTGTACAGGTTTCTAAGGGACTCATGGGGGAGTAGTTAGGAGGACAAATCCTTGAAGAGGCTGCCTAGTATGGTACTGAATGTCCTCAAACCCAGCTAATGCCTTAATGCCCAGTCTACATTGTGGCCCTTAAAACTTAGGGGATTCTGGCTGGGGGTGGGAGAATCTCTCATTTGGATGTTCCTGACTCAAATCTCAACGCTAGATGTCCCTGGAGCAGCCCAAACTCAAGACACCCAAGCTGACCCCTCTACTTCTCTGCATCCCAAACCTCTGGGTGACCATGAAGCCACTATTTCCCTGGCCCTGCCTCACCCCCACAGTCACCAGGCCCAGACACTTCATTCTCCTTTTAATGGCCATTCCGGACACCAGCTCATTCACCCAGGCCCTATTCCAGGGGTGGAGAGCCTGCGGCCTCAAGGCCACAAATCCAAACTGATTTGTTTGGACTCAGTCAAAGGGCTGCACTCGAGGACCTAGAGGGCTGCATGTGGCCTCGAGGCCGAAGCTTCTGCACCCTTGCACTTTCCATATTCTACCTGCTTCTAACATCCTAATGAAACATTTTCTGCTCCCAACCGATAGTTTGCTGGGTCAAATCCAAACTTCAAAGCCAAGCATTCAAAGTGGCAAGCATTAAAAAAACAGACAAAAACAAAAACAAAGTTGAAAGCATTTACAGCCCTGCTTTCTCCATCTCTACCATATAAGCCACCCACCCCCTCTCCAGTAGAGCTGAATTTATTGCCTGAGTATTCATAAGCAAGTTTTCAAGAAAGGTGGCTGGAAATGTGGGAAAATTGCTGAATCTGGAGTGGAGGATTACAGTCGGAATCACAACTTCATTACTGTTTTGCTATGAGACCTTGGGCAGGCCTCCTGATCTTTCCGAGCCTCAGGTTTTTCAGCTGTAAAAGGAAAAAAAAAACAAAACAAAAAAACTTGGGCTCGACAGTCAGATGATTTTGAGGGTCCTTTCCAACTCGAAATCTATGACCCTATGATCTCATGTTCTCTCTGCTTCCTACACCGTTTTTAGAGTAAGGACCAATGACAAAATGAATTCAGAAGAAAACAAAACAAAGCCCTTAGCCCTGGGACATCTTTGGTCAGTAAGTTTTCCTGTATGGGACGTGGAATCGAATTTGTCCCATTGTGAAGCCTGGGCTAAGTAAGAGAACACAACTTAGTTTCTTAGGCAACCCCAGTTAAACAGAGACAAACACGGCAGCCCTTGTGGTCATAGCGGTTAGTTGAGCCGATAAGAGGAACTGTTTGTGTAGATTTGTTTAGTCACATATATGAGTTCACAGAAGACCTGCAAAGGGAGGGGAGGCTGTGAGAAGACATGGAAAAGCCCCGAATGGGCCTTCGGGGGCCCAAACAACAAAAACAACACCATACATGTTAATGGAACTTGGTTTTTTAAAGCCCTTTCACCTCATTCAATAAGCATTTCTCAAGCACCTACTATGTGCAAGACTCTGGGTCTACACAGACACACACAAACTAAAGTCCCTGCCTTCTGGAAGCTCATTTCATAATCAAGGAAAACTGGAGGGGTCTCTGAGATCATTTTATTTGATCCAAACACTAGCTTTAAAGGATAAAGAGGACAGATCATCATTCCCCATTTGACAAATAAGGAAACGGTCCCAGAAAACTCTTTGCCCATAGCTCCCAAACATTCCAGTTCTGCTGCTTACTAGCTGTGTGACTTTGGGTAAGTCCCTTCCCCTCCCTGGGCCTCAGTTTCCTCCCCCCCTTCAACTCCAGCTCTAGGATCCTCTGACTGGAGGAAGCGTCCCTGGGAGAGTTCAGGAGACAGACTGAAGAGGTGGGCAGGTAAAGACGCCTGGCCTCTGGAAGGCAGGCTGTAGATAACAGAGCTGCCCCAGGAAGATCACGATGAAGGCCTTAAGAGAGGGGTAAACAGCACACCTCATTTGGAAGAACTCTGAAGTTGCCTTGAGATGCTGTTGAACCCTGGAGGCCTTGCTGGACAGTTGATACCTGTTCTATTCAGGAATAATTAAGGAAGTCTTTTGAACCCTTGCCCCCCCCCAAATGAAACCCAAAGCACCATCTACCCTATCCTCTAGAAGTTTTAGAAAGGGCTTCTGGTTAATCTTTCCAGGTCTGAGTGGGTCACAAGATCATCCACCTAGAGCTGGAAGGGACCACAGGGGCCAGCTGTCTCACTTTACAGAGAGGGAAACTGAAGCCCAGGGAGATGTGATTTGCCTCCATTCACACATAGGATCTTACCCCTGGAGCTGGAAGGGACCTCAGAGGCCAGCTAGTCCAAGTCTTTTATTTTACAGAAAGGGAAACTGAGGTCCAGGGAGGCAAATGATTTGCCCAAGGTCACCCAGGAAAATCTGACAGTTTCACAACTCTTCGGTTCTTCCAAATGTGGCCCAAAGTGCTCTGGAAATACCAGGTGATCACCCTAGCTACAGCAGAGGAGACTTGATGAGGAATAATGAACACTGATCTTGGAGTAGTTGGTGGGGAGGCAGAGAAGGGCCAGAGCAGCCGATGAATGACCGGAAGTGTCAGGCCAAAGAGTCTAGTTTTGATCTAATGACTAACAATATTAAGTTCTTCAGCAGAAAATAGACATGACATGGAGGGTATTTACAAAAGATCCTTTTGTGACCAGGTTTTGGAGGGCCTCGCCATCCTGGTCATCCTTCTTTAGACATTCTCGGGTTTGCCAACACCCTCCCTACAATGGAGCACCCAGAGGCGGCTGTGGTATAAAAGCATTGGATTTAGGGTCCAATGACCTACATTAAACCCCGACTCTGCCACTTCTTAATTGTGACTTTGGGGAAATCACTGCATCTCAGTTTTCTTCTTTATAAAATGAAAGTAGTGATTTGAGTAATTTTGAAGGTTTCTTCCAGCTCTCTAATTGATTGTAATATTCCAGATGTGATCTGACCCTGACCTAGCTCAGTCCCCCTTCTAGACACTCCATTAGACTCTAAAGTCCCAACAGCCTTTTTTGTTTTGTTTTGTTTTGTTTTTTTGGTTTTTTGCTAGGCAATGAGGTTAAGTGACTTGCCCAAGGTCACACAGCTAGTGTTATGTATCTGAGGCCGGATTTGAACTCAGGTCCTCCTGACTCCACTGCACCACCTAGCTGCCCCCCAACAGCCTTTTTAGCTGCTACATCACAACGTTGTATTGTCATCATGCTTGTGTGACGTCCCTAATACCCCCAGACCTTTCTCATGTGAAATTATCTGGTCATATCTTCTCTGTCTTAGACTTGGGCAATTGATTTTTTGAACCTAAGTGTGGGATTTTACATTTATATGTCATCTTAATAGTGTAGGCCCATTCAACATACATTAATTATTCTAGGCATTGAGATACAACAACAGAAGTCAAATAATCTGTGTCCTCGGGGAATTTATAACTTGGGAAGGGGAAAGAAAGGGAGGATACATCATAAACAGATTTGTAAACTTATAATATATACAAAGCATTTTCAAGAGGAAGAGAACACTATCAACTGGGAAAATCAGGAAAGGCTTCATGTAAGAGGCGGCTCCTGAGCTGGGTTTTGAAGGAAGTTCGGATCTCAATTTTGTCACTTAGTCATACCAGCTCGGCGACATTCCGAAATTGAATGACACAAAGCCTAGCTTTCCAAACTTAATTCACCTTATCCCAACTTGTACACTCTCCCTTCCAACTTTTCCACAGTCTGCTCTTCCATACCTCCTCCCTTCCAATGCTTGGAATCCACAGCTCCCTTCAACTCAGCTCATTTTGTCCCTCCTTCAGGAGGCCTTTGTTGAGGTTTCCTCCCCCTATTTCTCCACCCCCAGGACTCTTGAGCCCCCACCTTGAACATCCTTCATATATTTTTCATAGTCTCAAAGAACCACAGATTTGTGTTTTATTAAATTTTATTTCTTTCAATTAACTAAAGTCCACCTTCTCTCCCTCCCACCCCTGCCCCCCACCTGAAAAATAAAGAAAAACAAAGCCCTTGTAACAAATGTGTATGTTCAAGCAAAACAAATTCCCATATTAGCCATGTCTAAAATATATATATATCAATCTGTACTCCAAGTACAGATTATTTAGTTTTTTAAAAAATCAAATGAATGTTGATCAGAACAAGGCCAAATAGAAAGCCGTGTAGCACTCCATAAGAGATCTGCAATTAAATTCAAACTTTATCATGCACATTCTACGTGAAGAGCATTGTTGGGGATTATACAAAGTCTAAATTGTGCCTGCTCTCATGGAGCTTACATTCTTTTTTTTTTTTTTAAGGCAATTGGGGTTAAGTGACTTGCCCAGGGTCACACAGCTAGTAAGTGTCAAGTGTTTGGTCTGAGGCCGAATTTGAACTCAGGTCCTCCTGACTTCAGGGCCGGTGCTCTATCCACTGTGCCACCTAGCTGCCCCGAGCTTACATTCTTGAAGGGGGTTAACACAGAGAAAGATAAAATCAAAACACGAAATATTCACAAAATCTCTGACGAGGCTGTCTAACCCAACCACTGGAGCCTCCCCTAGCACTCACCCAGCCTCTGCTTAAAGACATACAGTAAAGAGAGCCCCCACTATCTCCAGAGGCAGCTTGTTCTACCTTAGGACAGCTCTGATTGCTAGGAGATGTTTCCAGATAGCAAGTCTAAATTGGCTTCTTTGTCACATCTACCTAGTACCCCAGTTCTGTCCTAGGGAGAGAGGCAGAACAAGTCAACTTTGTCCTCT